TATGACCAATGATGACATGTAAATGTTTGACACAGATTGATTGATCGATTGGATGATTGACAGTATGACCAATGATGACATGTAAATGTTTGACACAGATTGATTGATCGATTGGATGATTGACAATATGACCAATAGATAATGTACAGCGACGCCATTTTGTCCAACAAAGGATGATGGGAATTGCAGTCCTCGCACTTTTTAGAGTACTTTTGAAAAATACACCCTAAAAGCCGTTTTTATTCTTTCTTTGCAGTAAAGGCACAACTTTCTTTTTTTTTATTTTGCAAAAAAAGCAAAAGCGGGCAAGAAAAATGCGAGCGCTACAACTCCCATCATGCTTTGTTGGACCAAATTGCGTCGCTCCACATTGCTTTTTGACCAGTTGACTGATTGCAATATTAGCTCCATAATTATGGTTTATTATGGTATTCTGATTGACTAATTGTTAACTTAACTGATTAAATATAATAATCGTTTATGAATGCAGATGCCAAATATAGGATCATTAACAGATATTTACTAGCATTACCTGATCACCTTGTCTCACCACTATCGTACCGGCAGGTATAACAGCGATGTCTAAGATACTCTCTGGAATAGCATCGTGCTATAAAACAATAAAACATGAATACATATCAATGTAGCCTAAATTATATAAACTATATAATTTGATTGACAGAACGAAAATACGTCTGTCTGTCTGGCGCATACTTGCTCGACTAACATCCTCTCTTCCAGTCTTTGTCTGCAAAACGTTACTGAGCAAATGTGTACAATACAATCTATCTCTTTCCATAATATTGTCTAATTTTCTAACTGCCTGTCTATCTATCTGACTGTCATGATAGGCTTTCACCTTTCGGAAGATGTAATCCAATAGGCTTGTTCGAAACAAAAAAGAAAACAAAAGACAAAAAGTGTCATTGTTCTTTTAAGAACGACACAGCCAATCAGAAAAATCGTTCCGACAGGTGAAGACTTACCCGCCAGTCAGTCTTCATACTGTAAATTTACCCTAATAACTACTTAACAACCATGTCTGAGAAAGGACAGGCTCAAACCAGTCTTACCGGTAAATCAAGTTTCTTTGCAATCTCCTTGGCAGCAACCCTCAGTAACTCGTGTTCATCTTCTGGTTTCTTGAACTTTTGAGGCAGGTCATCAATACCATGATTGAAGTCGAACTTTCCTTCTTTTGACACAGGACTTGGTTCTGGGTCACTCTCGATCTCAAATGACACAGTTCCAGCAGTACTGCTAGTAGTATCGGGCAGTTGCACACTAGGGACACGGGCACGACCACAGGCGGCATCGAAATCCGAGGGAGACCGGCACATCCCTAAAGAGAGCAAAACAATGTTAAAAACAACTCTGAATTACGTTACAAGGCTTTTAAGTGCAAATAAAGAAAGCAGTTATCTAATTGCATCAATTTACTGGAAAAGATGTGTCATTGGTAAGCCAAGGATGCTGTCAGTGTCCTTTATCAAAATTTTATCATTTGCTTGATGTAAATGTCTGTCTGCACAATAACAGGCCTACGCCAATAGAAATAGTTGTTATGGGTCGGTTGTATAATAATGAAGGGTGGTTTCAGCTATTTACTGTTTAGATTTTGACTGTATTGATTTTATCCTCTTGGTAAGGACATATCCAAGATAGATTAGCTCTCAATACAACTAAACCCCAATGGATACAATTTCTATTAATGGAGACAAATGCTAAAAGTGTACATATAAACAGTACAAAAGAGTGCTAACGATAGTTAGAGAGAGTCGTTATTAAACACTGTCAGTAAAAGATAAAACCTTACCTTTGATTGACAGTTGTTAGCACTGGTACCTGACCAGTCCCAACAAAAGTCGTCATTAAATTATCTTAAAACTACACTTGTTACAGATTCATTTAAATTCAGCTAATCTAAAGTCGGTTTACTAGTTTTACTGTTTTTTTAACCTCCTACCATCAGCTTGTTATTGGGCTGCCTTTTGATAACTGATCTCATTAAATCAGAGAAATCTACCACCGAACGCTAAACTAGCAACTCATCCACTCGGAAAAGCAGAGCTGGTCGTCATGGAGATTTTGTTTTAGTGATTAGTGTTAGTATGCTTACTGTGGTGATTAGTATTTCTATAGCAACACTACTACAGCTCATCTACTTGTACATATTAATCAGATTAGCTTTAAATTTCACATGCAACGTAGCAAAGAAATCACGCAAGGGAAAGATAAGAAAAAGGAGGAGCGAAGAATGAATGAATGAATGGAAGAAAGTAAGAAAAAACAAATACTGAAGCAAAACTGTAAAAATAGAAAGAATGCTTCAATGAATKACTAAATGATTGAAAAACGAAAGAGAAAGAGACAGACAGAAAGCAATAAGAGAAAGAAACTTAAAGAACTCATGGCGCTTGACACATGTTGACACTTTAAAAAGGAGAGTGGAGAAAGTGGAGACAAGGATGGGGAAGTGAAGGAAGCAGAAGAGAAGGTTTTCCTTCTCTTTCCACTACTATCTGCTCTTTTAATGCTTTTCACACTTTTGTACATGAACCACGTAGATTAGAGCACGTCCATTGCCTCTTCTCCACTACTTGCTAGTGTAAAGTCCACTTAGCAGAAGCAAAACAAAGAAACAAGGAAATGGAAAGGAAGGAAGGTAATTAACTATAGAAGGAGCAAGTGGGTGAGTGAATGAGTGAGAAAGAAAGAAAGAGAGAAAGAATGGTAAAAAGAGGTAAAGAAAGAAATAATGGAAAGAACGAAATCATGGATTTATAAGTATGATAAATAATTTGTAAGAAAATGCTAGAAATGAAAAAGAAAAAAAAAATGATTGATTAATTAATAAGAGCATTAGAGTTACCAAGCATTCTACATCTGCATGTCATTCTAAGTGCAAAGTGTGTTAAAAACAAGCAAAGCTTAAAACCTTCAGCCTGATCCGATGTTTCAGCCATTGCTGCTTTGCCCCAAGCTGACATGTAGGTCTGAGAGTTGCAACGTCCTATGGCAGCACTGGGTTTATATTTGGGCTCATTAAAGCTGACCGAACGACGTAGCTTTTCCTTTTCTGGTATAGGAGCAGTTGGACTTTGGTTGTCTATTGTCAATAATGTATACAGTCATCAAATAAAGACTTTTATCATATAATTATCTATGAAATACCTATATTTCTCCATTACGTAAAATTGATATTTTCACTAGTGAAAATAGATGTTATTTTCACTAGTGAAAATAACACATTCGAGGTTTCTCTATATAGTGGAAGTAAGAAAATAGATATTTTCCGACATAATTTGCTTTCATATTTAATTATATGATAAACAGAATATTACATGGTCGCTTGGAGATACGAATTTTATCTTCTCGTGTTGAGATCTTTTCAACACTCGAAGATAAAATCTCTGTGCGCCCATGTAATATCCTCTATATCTATGTTCACCTATTACACCCCTGAGAAATAAGAACTATAATTTGAGGATGGGAAAACATCCCCTCTCCACCCTGGTGGATCTCCTAATGAATAAGAGGTGATAAACATCCTCTCTTACACTCAGTAAAACCATGGGACCATGTTATCCCTTCCTTAGAGGATATTACATACTAGACACGTCCTGAAATACAATATAACACAATGCACTGTATTTGACCGCATGGTTAAAAGATGTTTGCAGTGATTTTAGAATACAAAGCAACATAATATAATATTTAATTGTATTTCAGAAAGGGTCTATGGGCACGGTACATACAGATATTAGAACGATTTCACATAACCGGATAAAATGCTAATGAGGATCAATTTATGCTAATACACATGACACGATGAGAAAAGCTTGTATCAAATTGTTGTCCTTGTTTGCCAAAACTAGACACAAAAATGTTTTGATTTTTTTTGCCTTACGAAGTGTCTTTCCTTATTGTGCACGTTGGAATGTTTGTAGCAAACATATGTATTGTTTTATTTGTGCAATTTTGTCTGCTTATGTTGTCGTTTTATTCATTTTTTAAAAATCTCTCTCTAAAAGAGAGTTAACGTCAGCGAACTTGAGCTCATGTTTGTCTTAGAAATGCTACCAAAAGTGCAAGGGGAATGACTTCGATATCGTTGTTGCGCTGTGCAAGGCAACGATAGTCAAGACTGGCCTCCCAGATCGAGTTGTTCAGTTTTACTTTGAGAGTGATAATGAGCAATTAAAAATCACGAGACTGAAAGGGATAATCAAAAAGACCATATCTGACCCAGTACACAGTGCAAATCAATTTGATGTCGAAATTGTGACAGAACGACCAGAACCAGAAGATTAGTAATTCAACACAAGAGTTAGAAATGAAATATGCAGGCAAGAAGACGCCTAAAGAGAGGAGAAAGGATGCTGTGAAGAAAAATCTTGAGTGTGATTTTGAATGTTTCTTATGATTTAATTGTTATTTAAAACATATCTGTACGTCAAATAAGGTACATGTAAGCGTCCATCAATATCCTCGTTGTTCCACGTGTAAAATCGTGTCATGTGTATTAGCATAAATTGATCCTCATTTAGCATTTTTTATCCGGTTATGTGAAATCATTCTAATATCTTCCAGTGTTGAAAAGATCTCTCACAAGTCTGTGAATAAGTGAGAGCTTTTCAACTCAAGAAGCTAAACTCCGTATCTCCAAGCAAACATGTAATATTCTGTTTATAATATAATTATCTATAAAGTAAATTATCTTTTGAAATAAGAGATACCACAAATGCGATATTTTTAGAAATATATCGAAATATCCTAACCCCTCCTCACCCCTGTCAGTCAATACACAGTCAATTGTCCCCCAGTCTTCCCCTTTCATTGATGAAATATAAAATACAATGTTTACCTTTAGAATCTGACAGTACACTAGCAGTACTAGCAACCCCACTATCAGGACTAATGCTAGCATTATTAGTGCTATCTTGTCCTACATCTAAAATAAGCGTCTTTTTGAAAGAAGACCTTGAGCTCTCTAAAGTATGTGCTTCTATTGAACCAGATCTGGTTTTCACTGGACTGCTCATTGATTGAGGATTAGAACTTATGCTTGTCAGTGTAGGACGTCTCACTGTTAGACCCTGTAAATCATGTGAAAAAGAAGGTGAATAATTTTGATAAAAATGGGAAAAATACAGGCTGGGTTTTCTACAGATATTACAATGTAAGTTATAAAATAGCCTATCCACAGGTGACATAAAAATGTGTCAAGAACACGAAGTACATGTTTTAAAGATTTTCCTCTTCATTTTTGTAAGTGCACACTGTGTCCTTGAAATTGCACTGACCAATCAGAGCATGCATAAGATTGAACGGAGTCATCCATRCATACATGTCATGAGTACTTTTACACAGTTATCATCCATTGCAAAAACACATAATAAACATATTTTATCACATTGCTTTTGTGATTTGACCTAAGACTCTGATACATAAGAAATCCTAAAAATTCTTTTATCAATACTTACTGAATGAATTAATTCATAGCTGAGACCCAAGAAATTATGCATTGCCATAAACGTCACTTGCTGAAGACGTAACATGATGATCTACAAAATTCAAAACAAGAAACAATTGAAAATAAAATTAATAAGCAATGCAGGTAAAGCAACAAAAGAATTCAACTTATCTCACTCATTGGTGCAAAAACAGTTAGAAAGCAATGCTGTTATTTTCTACCCAAATGCAAACTTTTTTGTTGCAAGATGAGTGAATATCAACATTCTTAGACCTTAATCTATCTTTACTCCAAAGAAGTTCTTGCTCTAACAAGAACTTCAACTGAGGTCCATGTTCTAGATTCTAGTAATTACATGTAGGATGACATACTTAGATGGTTGAAAAAGATACACCAGTCATATGGTGGTGTGTGCATCATTGTACTTCACTTACCTGTACTACTCTCACTAATGATTCAGGATTCTTCTTGAAAACCTCTTGAAAAGCTTTTCCAGGAAGTCTATGAAAAAACAATTAATTGCAATAAACTGACTGTACATTATAGTCAACAATACTTGATAACATGTCTGTGGCAAATGTTGGAGAGCCGACTAAGCTTGAAAAAGGTGATTGTCTGATGCAAAAAAAATTCCATTGATTGGTGATGTGAGGATTTTTCTTCATTTAATCTGCAGTTCACATGGATTTATCTTGTATTATTTAAAGTTTTCAAACTTAAAGGTTTGGCCACTAAAGATACCAGATAATGAATTAATAAAGAAATCACCAAATGTTGTTGATTTTCATGGTTAACACTGATGTTAAGCCATCATTACTTTGTAATATGAGTACTTCTCAGAAGAATTTATTAAGTTTATGCCTATTACATGAGCTACAGTACTGTAGGTGATTAAAGTTGTTCTGCCTTCCTATGTGAAACACTTAATCAGGTCTATGTCCAATGAAATACCCTCACATGTGAACATTTTCAAATAGTGATGTTTTTTTGCCTATAACACTGTATTATTCATTGATATTATTCCTCGCATTATTTAATATTGCAAATGGTGTTTATGTGTAAGCGATTAAAACTCCTATTCTATGGTCTATTATAAATAAAAGTAAATTTTTAGTGATTAATACGTGCTACAAAATTTGCTGTTTTTTACTGAGCTGACACTACCCAGGAAAAAAGGCAACTTTTACTGCTTTTTTCTTGACTAATATTAGAATTCAGCCACCAACCAACAATTAAAAAAGATTGTGCCACCACTAACAGTATAAAAGCCTGACATCATTTCTGGGTTATGATGAAAATATTAACATGTCTTCTAATTCTTTATTTAAAATCCATACAAAGAAGTTCAACTTACTTTAAAACTGTAGAATCAACCAAAGCTCTTGCACGGATATGTGGTAGTGCAGCTGGATGGCCCTGCATACCAAATTAGGTTAACTCTTTCTTCAAAGGTCTAACCACATCATATTTTTGATCATTTTTTTATGTTTAATATCTAATTCAATACAATCTGAGAGCGACAGCTTCCTGGTCTTCGATTGTTACAAATAATTGTCATCCCTAACAGTCCTACTTTCCTTCCTTGTCACTTAATGCCACTATGTAGGCTGTCATCATACCTTGTAATACAGTACATGTATTATGTATTAAGTCAAAAGTGTTCTAAAATAAGATTATCCAAAGAGACATGTAATATATTCAATAACATATAAAAACTGTAATAAATTATTCTTGAAAATGACGCGCGATGGCGTCGAAACGTCGAAATCTCTTGTTGTCCTAACTTGTTTAACTAAACTTATTAAGCACAAACAACTAATATGTATTATGTAGTAATACTATTATTATTTAATACACCAAGTAAAGACACTTACTGTTAGAACATCCAGGATCCCAAGAACACTGTATATGCTGTCACCAGTAGCAACCTCTTTCATGGGCATCTCACTACCATCCTAGTATCAAATAGAATGCATTTAAACATAGATACTCAACAAATGATACATACATGACCAAGAAGTTCCATAGTCAGCAATCTACTTAATTTATTACCTTTTCTAACAATGAAACACATAATTTCCCATGCTGCACCACGTATATAGAATCATCACCCTAAAGAAATACAACTAAATTAGTGAGGACAAAACATTGAATACTGCTAGTGTACTCCAAGACCACAATGCATCAATTGTTTCCATTGAAGTCCAAATAAGATGCCTTTCAATTCTAAACTTAATTGCTTTTCATGGAAGTTATTGACTGCTGGAGCTACTAACTGTAGTCACTCTGAAGCAACAAAACTCATTTTCAATGACAAAGGAACGACCAACACTGCATTTCAGTCTTGGAAAAAAACAGCTGTATAGTTTTTACACATCAATTTCTGTTTTGTTTTACAGATAGACAATTGATTGGAAATGTTAATGATCATTCATGATATATAGTGTTGAAAGTCAATGAAAATGCCCTTAATTGTACATCCCCATGTACAATCCATCATCCATTATCCATCAAAGCGACACCTGCCTACCTTTCCTTGTTTGAAGAGCAGTGCATTTGCAGGCACTGATTTTGTTTCAATGTACTTGCACAACTCAAAAAATAGTGGTTTCTCAAAATGACCAAACACCCTAATGACAAAACAAACACATAAAATTTACAGTAAAATGTAAGAAAAGGGTATTCAAGCATGTGGTGTGTCTTTTCAGATCAGCAAAAAAAAAAAAAAAAAGAAAAACCCTCACACACTTGTGTGAATTCTCACTTGATGATTGGCTGATTGGAGGATGTCATTAACAGGACATTCACATTGTGCTGATTCCATCACGCCTCACACATTTGCTCAGTTGAAAGATTTAAAAGGAATGATTTTTTCCACTTGACAAACTCTTGGAGTCATAAAATTTTCAAAACTTTGCAGTGAACAGTGTATACCGTGATGTCATGGGTCCACTTGAGTTTTAAAGATTTTAAGAGTGTGTCACTGAGGACATGTACACCTCGAAACTAAATGCAATTCATCAAATATTATATTAAATAAAAATGTTCTTAGCCAAGAATACATTTACATGTACACCATAATTACTATAGATCACCGCCTTTTAGTGGTTTTTAGTAGCCTGTGAAATACAGTAAGTTAAACTCACTAAACTTTATAACTCTTTATTTTACAAGTTTTTCTTTTTGTTGTATCATATTTGCTTACACTTTGACAGTCACACTTTATTGTTTCATGGGCCAATGAAAACTAGTCTATGTTAGCTTGCACAATTCTCCAGAAACTTCTTTGCCAAATCATATTGTAAGACAAATGCCTCAGTAAACTAAACAATGTTGCAGCATATTTAATAATTATTTTTCCTTACCTGACACTTTTTAGCATATAAAGTACCTCTGGTGGAAGTTGAGGCTCATTGATATCAACCTGTAAAATAACATTTGATCATTGAAATAAAATTGATTTGATTGGCACAAGGAAAGTTGTAGAGCAAGTTTCTGTCCCCAACTTTACAGATTTGACATCACTTCCAAGATTAACAATCACATGAAAATAGGTCATTTCTTATTCATTATAGTGTTGAAAGAATCTAGAAATAAATGCTGAACTCTTTCATTGCAAATGAAACATTACTTTCCCTGTATCACCATGGACATGTCGTACAGCTCCACATATTACGATAACCTCCTTGCAAGACAAGTCAACATTAAGGATTGGATTTGGTATTAAAATGTACTTGCAATGAAATCACATACTAACCTCTGCAGCATCTGCTTCAAGAAATGCTGGTGGAGGCTCCTTAAGCTGCCTTTCAGGGCCATTTTCATCAAATCTCAATAACCTAAAAGAGAGTAAACATAGAATTATATGGGAAAGGAAAGGTAAAGGTGTTGGGTGCTAATCGTCCTTCATGGCAGCATTGGTGCTGAATTGTGAAAGATGCAGCTCGACGCGCTCTCAAGTTGAAGTGCTATATTACAGACACATTTTACATACACTTACATTTAGGCGTGCTGCCGGCTAGGCGCTTCCTTTACATAGCAACGCAAGACTGAATGCGGAGCACAGCAGATAGAAATTGTTCGTTTTACTGAGAGAGGAAAACTCGGAAAGACCCGGAAGGGAGAGAACGAAAGAAACACAAGGGAGAGAATGGAAGATCGAGATTCGAACAGGGTCCACAGAGGTGACAGGCCAGCACTCTCACTGCTCAGCCACCCGTGCGTCCCTAAAAACACTGATTAAAAAGGTACATGTACATAATATACATACACTGTACTACATGGAAAAACATGACTTTACAATATACATCCTTGTAAAAATACTTATATCAAGACCAGTAATATCAACACCCCCAATAATTAAATTCTATTCAATAATTTACATGACTGTTAAATTAAGGTTATTGAGTCAGTATATTTCAATATCACTTTTCTCTTCATTGGATTACAGTCAGACTAATAGATGTTGAAAAAAGAAATGTGCACAGTCATTTGAAATTGTTCTTTTTATGATTAATTAGTCATCTGATTAATAAAAAACAGTTTTCTAATTAAAGCTGCATTGTAGAACATTTCTATATCGTGTCAATTTGTGATAAACAAATATTTAGAAGTACACTAAAAACCAAAAACCTAAGTACTTAAAGAAGTAAATCCATTGATTGCAGACAATACACCAGACAGTTTTCATATTTGACTAAATTACACACAATGTTTCAATGGAGAGGTCAAATGTTTCCACACTGTTGTGACTGCTTACTATACAGTCAAAAAGACATAATATGATCATGGTTACCATAAGAACAGTCACAGTTTGTGACTTTGTTTAAAACACTATAGTTATCATGTAATGCAGCCCTGGATAACTAAAATAGGTTTGGAAGATATTGCTGCCAGTCTCAAGAACTGCATTATCATTTTGGTTACTAGACAACTCCTTAAAATGCACCATCTCTTAATGTTAGCCCATGGAATTTGGTATACCATGTAGATGTATTTATTTATTAAAGTTCACACAAGGTATCTGAATTTTACTTTTAAATCCTACAACCAGTTAAGCGAATGAACATGTTCACAATTCAATTGAAATGTAATTTATTTGCAACATTTCCAAAATCCTATTTTCATGTAGGCATGAATTTAACTCTCATTTTGTAAGTTTTCTACCTGGGTTTTGTATTTAAACAAAAAAATATCAGTCCACAAGGCAAAAAGAAGGGGCTGATTGCAAGGTAAATAGAGACACATTTGAATTTTGACAACTTGGCTCATTTGCAGAAGAAATTTAATGAAAATACAGTCAAGACTGTGCAATGTAAGCATTTCTTACCGAAATGGCCACTTAATGCAAGGCCATAGAAGGTTTACATCAAGGCAAGTATTCAGTAGATCTCGAGCAAAGTCTGGCACTGTTTCCATCACATCACTGAGCTGCAAAGCTGCTAATTCTACTAGTTTATGCAAAAATAGCACTCAGTATTGTCCAAATATCACTTTCTACCATCTAAAGACAACTCTTGCAACCCTTGTAGCAGCTCAAAAGCTTTTCAGAGTTATTCCAAGCAAAACAAGAGTAAAAAACGCTTATTTTGCACTTGAAGATTCTAGTTTCTCTCCAAAACAAGTCCAGTCTGACAGATTGGACATTAATAATTCAGCCAAGAAAGTTACCATGTTTTCCCCAATACAGCAGGTACATGGATGGCTTTACAGGTGGCACATTGTATCAAGGTTTCAGTAATAATTATAACCAAGTTGAGGACACCCTGGAAAATACTATTAGTTTTACTGTTCTATGTTTTCACCAATAAATGACACATCCACAAATAGAAAGCAAACTATATTTTGATAGCAATAAAATACCAGTTTACCAATAAATGTACACTTGCACCATGCAATGACCTAAAATAGCTATTGCACATTGCTTTTGACAGAATGTCAAGTTCTTGTTCAGTATTGAATAATAATACATGAATTACTGAAAAAAAGCATAGTTCAAAATAATGAGAACCAAACATTTGAAACAAATGAAATTTCCTTTGATTCATAATAAACCAAGTTTTAGAGCTTATTCAAATTTAGTTTACATTTAGATCCAAGGATCTTGTGAAAGCAAACCAACTTAACAATAATTTTATGCTATGCAACAAGCTGAATCTAGGACAAACTTTAACATCTCTTCATTTTCTTCTAATATCCCATTGTAATAATAAATAGAAAAAACTGAAAACATGTACTAGATACATAATTTGCTTTTTATAAATTAAAAAGTTATTTATTATATCACCATGCTGTATTTGAAGCCTGGACACAAGTTATCAAGTGATCTGATTGGCTGATCATAGTGTTTTTCTTTGATCTAGATTCTCCTGGGTAAACTGTACGCTACATAAATCACCATTTTTTAATTTTTGTAAATTGTCACTTAATGCATAAAAACACACCAAAAGCACAAACAATGTCAATATTCAACTTAATACTACTGTATTCTAGTGACAAAATTATGGAAAAAGTTGAATACTATTATCCAGAAGAGATTTCAGATGACCAAGAACTACATGTAGACAGTCAGAAAGCATCTAGAAGATTTTAACTTGGCAGTAATTGGCAGTGAATTTTCAATGAGTTTTCTTAATATTAATGTAACAATTCATGCAAAAACATGTCATTCTGATGACTGAATGCCTTGCTGATTTCTTTAACTGTGTATCACTGTTTATATAATTTGGTTTGATAGACAAATTCAAGAAGTTGAACCTATTGTGTTTTGATTGACAAAAACATTATTTATCTCACTGCACATGAACAGACTGAAAAGTCAAAAAGGAAAAAGTCAATGTCAGTGTTTGTTTAGAATTCCACTTGAGATCATACAGGCATCTCACTCATTAGCCACTGTTGAGTTCTTGGATCCAAGGTCCTCAGACCTGGAGTCCCAAGAGTAGGAAGATGTGACTGACAATCTGAACTCTACCAGACAGACATCATTCCAAGTAAGATGCTGAGATCTTAGTAAGAAATGAATTGTTGGTCCCCAACATATAATAATAAGAACATAGCCACCATCTTTACCAGAAAGCCAGGGAGGATTGTGCCTGGGGTGGAATAAATTCATCCCATAGATAAAGTTACCAGTATTAGATTTTGCAGGACTCTTATGTGCTGGATAAGGATTTAAGGCCGTGTCACACTGGCGTTTTTTTCGTGCAACTTGTGTCGCRCAAAAAAATGTTGAAGTTGCACGATGCCATGTCACACTAGCAAAATTCTGTTGCAACTTAGCTCGCACAAAAGAATGTTCAAGTTGTACTTGTAAATTGAAAATGTACGATCACCTCACTTTCTGTCTCGTTTTCTTCTTCAAAATTATCGCTTTCGCCAAAGATGGCGTCGGGCATCTTTGTTGATTATTACAACAAGTGACAACAGGACAGATTCTCGCTTTCTTATGGGTTCATGCGCCTAATTGAAAATTTTGAAAGTTGCAAGAGACCATGTCACACACGCATTTTTCCGAAAAATGTTGAAAAAAGTAGAAGCCAGTTCTACTTTTCTCTCAACAAAAAAATGAAATGTTCAAGTTGCATGAGGGGGTGTCACACGTAAAAAAACGCTCGTGCAACGTCAACATTTTTTTGCGCGACACAAGTTGCACGAAAAAAACGCCAGTGTGACACGGCCTTTAGTACTTTTCACAGGTCTCCAGTTTGGGTCTTACAAGACCTGACTCTCAAAGATAATTGCAAATTACTGAAAAATACTGCTAACCTGTTACTTGATGTAAGACCTAATGTAATAGCTTTAATAATAAGAGCAATAAAAACAAATCAAGTTGTCTCCCTGTAATAGTGCAAGTTGAGAAGCGATATTGCTTGTTTTCCCACCAATAAGAAAATTTGTTGTGAAAAAATGCTTTTGTTGCAAGTTGAAAAAGTTATGCATAGTAGACAGGTGTTCTCCTTTTTGAAACAAAATGTCCTGATGATGCAATGATGCCATTTTGTACAACTCACTCGTATTCTCTACGACAATTACCCACCAAAGCCTTCTTTTGCTATTGTTTTGTGAAAATAGAAGAGTAAATGTTTTTAAGGAGGTTTTTTAGGGGCTATAAAAAAGTGAGGACAAGAACTCACATCATGCTTTGCCATCACTACACATTGTCAAGCATGCACAAGCTGCATGTTTGTTTTCACTCATGATGCCAGGTGATGACATTAGCTAATTGGAAAATTTTATTCCACAACAAGTTGCTGATGGGTAGAAAGCAAGCAACATCTATTGCTTCTCAACTTGTTTTTGTGTAATTTTTTACACACACCTAAGATAATTTTACAGAATGACTACAGGAAGCCCAAATGGCAAGTCAACCCAAATACATGTCATGTATGCTGTAATAACAATATGATTTTCTTTGAAATGTACACTGTTAAAAAGATATAATCACTTATAGTCTTTTCCCTTTTATCAAGGACAAAGAAAAATAAAAGTGAAAGGTCAGCAATAGAATATTTAATATTTTTCTTACTGTTTTGCAAAGTTGAACATCACTTTTTGTCTTTTTCTTATTTTCTTCCTGTATCCTTCATCCCTTTCTTCGGATAATTGCCTCACCTGAAACACAGAAAACAAACCATACTCAACCCATCCCCTATTAAAATGAAATTAAACTCCACACACAATTAACTCCATATCTAGGATTTGTAACGCTAGCTTAACCATTCTTGTGTATGTTTTGTAAACAACTCAATTACTCATGTAAATACTCCTGAAATTATACTTTGGCAAAGCTTAAAATTTAACTATTAGCAATAAATAATTCAAGTATTCTAAAAATCATCACTTGGAATATTGTTTAGACGCTAAAAGTTGAAATCGACAATGACTTAATGTAAACTCGTTGGTTAAAATCTGACGTTCGTGTACCTTGTTTTCCAAGGAAAGCTTTGGTATCGATAGTATTCTTATACCAGAATGAATTATTCACTTTTCGCTATTAAAAGAACTGGATATTGGTTTCCGTAGGTCTGACGTAAAAAGAAGCCAGCTTTCTTCGCCAGATTTCAGAAAACAAATATTTCTGTTTGGACGCCGCGAGCACTTCAGCAGTGCACGCGCGCGCATCACAGGATTCGTAATTTAGAACATTATTTTCTATCACCGAACACAGAATATTTCCGTGTTTTTTTGTATTTTCGTGATTTTTAAGAAGACAGTATAAATTTATTGTGATGTTAAAATTAAAAGTACAAGCAAAAGACTTGCCCTTGTGACCCTTACAAGTCCCATAGACTGACAACTACATCATTGTACCTTCCGCAGCATCTTCTTTCCGTAGAAAATCATTTTGTCTCTCTTGCGAAATCTCGGTTTTTCCGCTGGAATCAAAACTTCTTTAACTGCCGCAGGAATAACGGCCGCAGCTAAAGGAAGACAAAGCAATAAAAAAAGTTAACTTGAGGAAGAAAATAGAGGAAAAAGAAGCATGTACGTAAGCTTACCTTGTCGCCGAAACTTACGAATGAAGTAAATCACCATTGCAAACACAATGATTAAAAATATTATTCCTACAACTAGATTAACCTAAAACACACAAAAGATATCACTGTTAAGATCAAGGATAAATAATCTACTGATTTTAAACAAGAAAACTAACCGATATGTCCTCAAAAGGCTGCATTTCTACGATTGTATTGGTAAAATTCGACATAGTTCCTCTGACGTCCATTTTGAATCTTGTTTATTGATTGGGATAGAGCGCTGGACGGGTAACAAGCGGGCTCTTCTATGTATTGACACGTACCTGTGCTGTATCACGTGACTGTTCAAATGCGTATCTGCTGTTCATTTCATTATTCAACTTTCTATTCTAATTTGTTTTGATTTTCAATATTCTATATTTCATTTCGTAATCTGCGCTATTTAAGTTGCATCATATTTTTCGATATTTTTTCATTCTAATTACGTATTTACGCTCTAGATACATAGAAGTCTTTTCGAAAAGCTGGTCTGGGTCATTCTCTCTCATATTTTCTCCATTTTCAAGTTATTCAAAATTCAAATCTGAGAGCCGCTGACAGTATGATCGCAGACAGCGTTTGTATCTCAATTAGTCTATAATTACCTCATTAATCCAGAGCCGCAAAGCTATCTCTGTGACGTCATCGCCGCGCCAGCTATGATTTTTATATAATTTTACGTGAGACCTTTACCAGCATGGCTCGATAAATCTTGAAGAAAACAAATTTCTTTCTTCATTTTGTCGAGCCAGGCAAAGCGTTTACCTGGACACAATGGCAACGATGTGTGTTGCGCCAGCTGGAAATATGTTGGCAAAACAACGAAAAAAGGAGCAAGAGGAATCCGATGTTTTCCCTAAGCTCGGAAAGATCACTGGGGGCACGATACTAAGACATCAGCTAGATGATATCTACAGCAGATCGTCATATTCAAAGTCTTACGATACAACCAAAATGTCACAAATGAATTCCAAAGGGAGTCAGAACAATCGACCGCGATCGGGAAGAAGAAATAGACCACACCCAAGAAAGGTAAAACTCGAAAATAAAAAAAAAAGTTGCAAACATATTTTATTCAGAATCTTATTATATATTCAGTTTCAGAAATTAACTAATGAATTACAAATTGTAACTGATGGTAAATTAATTATTATTCTAGAACTGTTGATTTTTTGTTCGAATTTATAAGTCCTCGTCCTCGTCCTCGCGCTCGAGCGCACGAGTTTTAATAAGTGCTGATTGATTTATAGACGAAAGAAAATTTCATTTAATTTCCAAGCGTTTTGAATCAATGATTTCATAAAAAAAAGTCATATAAAAAAGGGGTTAAGGAGCTTCAACTATGCAGTTACTATTTAATTCTTGTGTCAAGCAATTGCCATTGTCATTTCAAGGACTGGTTGATGTGGCGTCTTCCAGAGCATACGTTTCGCAAGTTAACAATGACGGACGATGCTGGCTTGTGGAACTGGGCAAAAGGTGGAATCGACGACGCTAACAGATATGGTAAAATATCGTTATCGTACTATCATGTCCATTGTCTATCCACTCAAGCTCATAATTTATCTTCATTCAACCTACTCGTTCATTCATCCGTTCCATCGTCAGTCTCTTGGTGACCTAATAATCATCCGTGCCGTCCTATCATTAATCCATCCAATCACACCATCCCATAATCAATGTGATCCAGATATGATCGAATTTCCTAATATGATGGTTTCGCGTAATTTACGGACTCATTCATATAACATGCATGGAGAGAGTCAGTACACTTTGATGGAGATTCAAAAAATATAATGCAAACATTTATGAAATTTACTTTCCTAGCAAGAAACAAGAGTGCGCATGCGCTTGAGTATTCTTATGAATGTGCTCGTGTTTCATCCAATAAGTGCGCGAGTGATAATTATTGTTCATTTCAATGCGCTTTAATATTGAACTCTTTTGTTACAGAAACAGAATACTCAAGATTGTATGCAGGCTCACCTCACAATACAGCGTATTCAGAAAGTAAGTCTTGCTTATAATCATGCATTTTCGTAGCTCATTTCCATTCTCAGCTTCTCCGTCCTTTAAAAACCGATGAAAAATCGAATAAAACGATAATACACAATGAGAGCGCATTACTATTGGAGCCTTGGTACTGTACTTTTATGCAGTGTCTGGACAGGGAATTTAGATAGGTTTTGAAAAGTAATAACGCCTTGTGCTACAATATACACCTAACCAAAAAAATTCTGCAACTTTTAATATATATATGTCTTTTGTTCTTGAGAGATTAAACAATAGGGAAACAATAGACATATATATATTGAAAGTTGCAGAATTTTTTTGGTTAGGTGTAGTCACACACCATACAGCCTTTTGCACAAATTATGAGACATTTTTATATATATAAATATACCTAACCAAATATCAAAAACACCCAAGAAATTATGGGATACCGTCGCTGATATTTTGTCTGTAACAACCTGATGCTAGGCAATCATGACAAAATATAATAGAGATATACCATAATTTCTGGGGTGTTTTTGATATTTGGTTAGGTATATTTATATATATAAAAATGTCTCATAATTTGTGCAAAAGGCTGTATACATGTATATATATATATACATATATATACAGCAGGTCCTAGCCCACGTGCAAGCTCTTTTAGTGCGCGTGTTTTTTGGCTGCGCGCGACCGGTTAGCTCAGTAGGTAGAGCATCGGACTTTAGTGCGGGAGGTCGCAGGTTCAAACCCCGGCCGGACCAACACTCAGGGTCTTAAAATAATTGAAGAGAAGTTGCTGCCTTTGTCTTTCTCCATCTGCAAATGGTAAGATCTTCGCGTCCTCTCGGATAACGACGTAAAATCGGAGGTCCCGTCTCTCTACACTTCACTCACTAACCTGTATTAGAGGGACGTTAAAGAACCCACACCACTGTTCGCATAAGACTAGGGAATGATTCCCGGTGTGTGTGGCTAGGCCTTACTACTAACCCATACTAATTACTAATCCCTCATGATTGTAAGCCGCGTGGCTGCCAATTGCGCCTTAAACAGCGGTACGTGTGAAATGATCTATACATGTGAAGCGCCTGTGAACTCAGAGGATATTGGCGCTATATAAATACCACATATTATTATTATTATTATATTATTATTATTGTTTTCCGTTAGTCGCGTTTGATTTTGTAGCAATGGCGCGTGCAAAACACTCAGTTTGCTGAAGAAGGCCGAAGTGCCGAAACGTTCAATAAAAAGTAGAAAACCTAGTTACAAGTTGCGTAGCTTTTTCTTCATTTATTCTATTTATATATATATATATATGTTATGCGACGTATGTTAAGAGCAATTTCACACAGACTGTTGAAAAAACTTTCAGTGTAAAATGCAACGTCGATTGTATCGGTATCGTTCCACTTATCTTAAGTTCATTGTTTAGGAAAGCGATTATTAAATCGAGAAGAGATCAATAAGGCCAGTTTACCGATGTACAATAGTGAACAAGATACGCAGCCTCCACCTTCACCTTCAGCGGTATTTATCCATGTATTTCTTAGTGTTCATATTTTACAGAAATCTTTGTTTCTAGTAATCATTTACTCTTGTATTGAATTCAACGCACAGTTTTAGACTAGCTCTTTATTGCATTACTGAATTACTAACTATTCGACTTTAGAGACATTATGGGCGTCAAAGAGCAAGCCAGAAAAAAACGTGTTTATATTTTTATGGTCAATTAATGTGAAAGTCTTATATTTCCCCATTGTCAAAACTAATGCTGTACAGCCAAAGTCAAAGTCTGTTATTTTCTTTGTGTGAAGGCGAATCAACAAAGCGGTAATGCGTCAAGTGAAAGCTATTCTGATTTGAATAAGTTTCTAGGAAGTGACATCTGGAAAGGTACTCATCATTGCAATCTTCATGCATTATACATAAGTTGTAAGAGCGTAATCACCACAAGCGTGATGAAAAAGCACTTACCAAGTAATAGTGCAATAAATAGCTCAATGCAGTGTAAAATGGACAATAGAAAACAGTATTAGTACTATTTGACTACTAAGTTTTTCATGGTTTCAGTGTTTGCTCCCTATTTAATAATGAATTTTATTAAGAGAGCACATGCATTGTACGATCTTTGGCTTGATCAATAACTGGATTAGCCTCATTCCTATCACCATTAACCTGCACAGGACGCAACTAGATATACAAGCATTACTGGTAGAAATTGTTTATAAGTTGTATGTACAGTATTAGTCTATATTTCTGAGGTCGCTGTAGCATCTATTCATTTATTGATTCCCATTTGATTCCCATTTGCTTTGATCTTTATTTTTCAAAAGATAAAGAAGTATTTCATCAAATTCTGGAAACGGGAGACAAGCGATATCTAATCAAGGTATAGTAAATATAGCATGTATTCTTTCTGGCGCATCTCGATCTATCTATGACGCATCCGGTAAATCCTCAAAGAAAAAACGCACAAAATTTATACCCTGTAGAATGGGAAGTTAAATAATGCACGCGTGGGGGAACGCTCCAGATATTAGTTCCTTTAGAAATATTATAATAGCAATTGTTATAAAAACTTCCGACCAATGATCTGCCTGTCGAAAGTATCAAGCTTTCTTTGCTATATGGTGGCGACATTGGAGGCACCACCCCTGAAAAATTGCTGGATCTGTCCCATGTATAGGTCGTGATGCAGTGTAAAGGATAACAAAATCTCAATGCTTGTTTTTTTTTGCAGTTCTTAAATACCTTGAGCCCTGAAACACTCCTTGGACTACAGAAATGGTTGCAAGCTAGCGAAGAAGGTATGAAACTGCTGCACGAGACTTTGATTGAAAGTCCTGCCGAAATACTCAACCAAACATATACTTTCTCAGTATCAATCATGACTGTGATTATCAATAGAAAAAGAAAACGAAGAAGCAGTTGCCGAGACTTCGTCGTACGGCGTAACGTCTACAAGTATGTACAGCGGTTTTTGAGTGAGCGTAGTCGCACTCGAATTGTTTATTATATATCTGTATTTCGATTATTGTGGTGGTTGTTTAGATACAGAGGGATCGGAAGCAGATGCGTCGTCAATTCGATTGCCTCCCTCATCACCAATGAAGGATCAAAGCAATGACAAAGAACCAAAAACTAAAATGACTGCAAGTTCGCCGTCTGAAGGTAAAGTAGGATATGTACCAAGCATTTTTATTGGTTACTGAACTATGTATGGTATTTTCCAATCATCTTTTAGGAAAGAAAAAGTTCATCACCAACTTGATTGACTCCGCTGACAAAAAAGAAATCGCACAGGTAATCAAGCTCTAACATAAAATTGACAACATAAATTGATGAAGGTGAAAAAGGAAGTTCTGTATGGGGGAGACCCCACTTCTTTGGCAGATAGATAAAGTCTTTGAAGACCTTGCCAAATCAATAGGGTAACGCATTTTCAGATAGTTCACCAATTTTCGGAAGTGAATCGAAAACAGTGCTTGTGAAATTTTGATGTCAATCGCCTTCTTCATAGCCTTTGAAACCGCAAAATAAAGTAGGATCGATCCGTCCCCCTTCCTCCTGCGCACCCCATCCCTGCACCCCACCCATCCCCTCCTGCGCACCGCCCCTGTTGTGATTGGCAAACGATGATTGTTAGAATCAAAGCAAATGACAGCTTTAGACGTGCAATCTCATTTATTGCTGTAGTCAAATCGAGTATTCGCTAATTAACAATTAGACCTTGAGGTCGAGTGGACTACGAGCTAATAGCCCATGAGGCCGAGTCCGTGAGACCGAATGGACTATTAGCTCGTAGTCCACGAGGCCGATAGGTCTAATTGTTTTAGTATAAACATACTAATCGGTCAAATAATGAAAACAAATTGAAATATCCTTAAAATAATTGATTAATGAGATGCTGCCATTTTGATTTTCCCGCGAGTGGTCTATCACAAATTAGACCATTAGTAGAGTAGCCAATCACAGCGCAGTATGAGTGATAGACCATTAGTATGTTTATACTAATAATCAATATACCTTATGTTCAAGTTATTTAGAGAGCTGGAGGCGATTATATCATCGATATTGAATATCCACAACTCCTTTCGGTCGCTCAGTAGCCAACTAAAAACCATCAACCGCCGGTATCTCTGATAATTACATACTACTTATTAACCGAGAGTGAGGTCATTACAGGGAAATCTCAGACCGAGGTCTTGGAAGTATGGACCGAGCGATAGCGAGGTCCATACAAACAAGACCGAGGTCTGAGATTTCCCTGTAATGACCGAACGGACGAGGTTAATAAGTTATTTATTATATGGCTCTCTTAATAAAAAAAATATAAAATATATAACGTGAGCAAAATAAAAGAACGGAAGTGATTTAACACTTCCTCTTGCGCGCGCATTTGTTCATTCAATGTCATGTCCAGTGCCGAAAAAATACAACAATTTGTTTGAAAATGTGTTTAATATAGCACAATTTATGTCACAAAACCGTTTTTATTCCACAAAACACGGTAATTTAGCTTAAAAAGTTTCAGAACATCCAAAAGTTTGTAAAAATAGTTGGAAAATACGTCAAAATTAAGACGATTGAAAACGTCAACACGTGCAGACCTTGCAGTGATTTTAGCGAATGTTCAACTTTCCTCGTCACTCTCGATTTTTCCGTTGTTGGATCTTGACTGTACCTTTGAAAATTTTGAACGAACAGTCGGATATTTTGCTGATGTTAGCTCCACCGAAAATGCTACTTAAAGCACTTGGATTTGATGTATGAACGGCGAGGGAAGTGGTTGACTCAACTGGTTACTCATGAGGACGGCAAGCATAGTCTAATGACAGCTTAGAAATGCTCGATAAGTATTCACCATAATTTAAAGATAGCTCAAAAAGGATTGTATTGGAAGAAAAAAACGATGTGTCAGGATGTAAAAGCTCAAAAGAAGCCAGAACATACCTCTACAGACTACTCAAAACAAAAGTGAAAAGCCGAAGGGATTCAAACCGGTGTTTTGACAAGAAAAGCTGAGAATGAAATCCTCCTCTTAAAAATTCAATGAGCTCGTTGACTAGAAAAAAAGAGCAAAAACCTGGAAGTCCAGTTGAAGGAATTTTGAGTCAGTGTGAACTCGTTCAAATGCCAAGCTTTCTCAATGAAAACAGCTGAAAACAGGCAAACTTTCAAGCAATTCGTGGGACATCCTCGGTTGCTGGATCAAGAAAATTGTAATTCAATATTGAGGGACATCCACATCGAAGAATTAATAAACAAACATACACCGGCCTTGTCGATAGAAGAATCATTGAAAAGTTTGTGAGTAGACTGTAATAATGTATTTGTGCATGAAATCTGAATCTATGAAATAAGGAGCCATTATTCCCTCATTTTTGCAGACAATTACTAAAAATATAATGATTTTGGTCATTTTCGTCGGTTTGGTACTAAAAATATAATGGTTTTCGTCTGTTTGGTAGCCATTTTGTCGGCTTTCGCACTAATCTCGTCAAAAACTTACATGTTAAATAAATTCACTTTGACTGTAGTTTTCGTTGTCTCTCATTTTGCAAATAAAAAATTTTCAAACATTTATTTATTTATTTTTTTTATTTATTTTTATTTATATCTTTGTTTTGCAATGCGTTTCAAATTGTGTTTTTTCTTCGTCTTACTCAAAGTCAAAGCTGGAGCTGCTCAAAGCTGGTCTAATCGCGAAAAATATTGACCGYTGTKAKCGGRCATTACAGKAAAATACCGACCGGTCATTATCTGTCAACAGCCAATCAGAGCGCGCGTACTATCTAAGCCATATAATAAATTAGTATATATTTATGTATTTTTTTCGTTACAGTTTCTTAGCGACATGATCGAGCCTCGATCTGTCAAAGGTGTTACTCATTGGCTTGTCAGTCACGAAGGAAAAGGTAACATGTCGTCTTAAACAAAAAATAAATTCGTTCCTCAGTACATTTCAATCTCACATCCCCTAGCATTTTTTTTCATGCTAAGGGAAAAAGATTCCTGGATGATTCTAGCGTCGCTACTATCTAAGTTTTAAACAATCAGTTTTTCGTTTTTTCGTAAATAATGGATTCTGCGTGCGCTTTGATTGCATGATCATGATCATGTTCACCATTTTAGAACACTGCTGAGAACCATAGCTTGCTGGTCTTTACTAATAAGGCAGACTTATCATGTCGCACACTCGTGTTTCTAAGTTGCATCCCAGGCTTCTTTTCCACTCTACAATTCTCGCAACCTGTTTATCTTAGGGGAAGAAGCACAGGGAGCCCAAGGAACAATTTCGAATCCACAATTGTCGAAATGAAGTTTAATTTTCAAAATGTTTGTTTTTAATTTTATTTAGCATTATGAAGCATTGTTAAGTTTTTTTAATCTATCTCTATATATTTACGATCTTTATTTTCAACATTTGTGGCTTCAAAGTGATTGTTTGGGATACCTATGGAGTAAGTCATAACGCACAACCGCTTTACATTTCTTATAGTTTTATGTCTCGCGTCTTTCTTTCTAAACCACAAACAGTTATAATCGTATAATATTGTTTAATTTCAGAACGTGAAGTCGCACTAAGGTTTCTAGGAGAAGTTCGCTTCAAGCCCTCGAAAGACTCCATTTTGGTCGAAAAGGCGCGAGAGGGCCTGGAAAGTCCCATGTCTAATGTGTCATTAACACGACGCTCAAGGAAAAAAAGATCGCCACATGGCAAGAACTGTTCATGCGCAGTCTGCGATGCCGATCATTCGAACAGGATTTTAAGAGCTCTTTACAAGTAAGGGTTTATTTGTGATGACCCACATTTTAGTGAACAATAAAAGTATACATAGCATACATATGACGTCACATATTTGACGTCACTTCTTCTTATATTACGCTCTATTTTCAGTCAAGGAAGCTCGTCTGTAATCGACGAAATGCGACGAGCCCTCGAGTGCGTACCACGACCAAAGAAAACAAAAGTAAGACAGCAAAACCAACGTAAAAACCAAGTCCCTAAACTTGGTGGAGATCGTCGAATGCAACGAGTAGTTCGTGGACACTTACCAAACACTAACGCGCTCTTCATGCAGCCTCATCGACTGCTTCCATCTTTCTTCGTCATCCACCCAGAGTTGCCATAGTTACATGAGGTTGACATGGTGACATAAATGATCGACAATTTAGATCACATGATTCAGCGGTTGTTGACCGGATACTTCGAAGTAGTGTCTATCTATCTGTATCTATCATTTTAATATATGAAACCAATAAAAACTGCTTTATTGCTTAATTGGTTTGCGTCAGATCCACACTTACTCCACAAGTCAGGATCTTGCCATAATTTTCTAATCATCTTCCGTAACGCTGGCTCGATAAATTAAAAATTGAAAAATGCTAATTCAGTAACGCGGTTCCTTGATAAGTAAATGTTTTTTTCAAGCAACACTTTTGAACTGAGTCAAAACATCTTTATTATTTCATTTAAAAGCTATTAAATGAACTTGGGACGCAAGTGCAAATGAATATATACAATTATTATATAGGGAGTATGTAACACACGATTTCATTATCATTATCATTATCATTATCATTATCATTATCATTATCATTATCATTACCACTATCATCATATCATTATCATTATCATTATCATTATCATTATCATTATCATTATCATTATCATTATCATTATCATTATCATTATCATTATCATTATCATTATCATTATCATTATCATTATCATTATCATTATTATTATCATTATCATTACTGTTGCTGTTAGTGTCGTCGTTATCATTATCACTGTTATTATTACTATCGTTGTCGTTTTGGTACTCGTCATCGTTATTACTGTCGCCATAGTACTCGTTTTCATTGTCGCACTCGTTATCGTTATTACTGCCGTAGTCATTGCCATTATTGTTTCCTTTATATTTGATGTTGCTTTTATTGTTGTTTTTTCGTCGAAGAGAACGCAACAATTGAAGAGCAACCTTTCGCATGTCATGTATTCTCTGTTTTTTCGTCGAAGAGAACGCAACAATTGAAGAGCAACCTTTCGCATGTCATGTATTCTCCAGAAATAGATTACTGGATTGATGCTACTGTTCATCATTAAAATTGTCCGAGCTACATTCACTGTTACAAAGTCATGAAGTTTCTTATTAAAAGTTTGCATTAAAATAACGCAAATGAACGGGAAATTACATAGAAAAAAAGCTCCAAGTATGTAATACATAACATTCACAGATCTCTTAATGTTCACTGCTTCGCCAGGCTGCAGTGCGTTCATTACCTGCTGCTGAAGTTGAATGTGTGCTGCATGTTGCCGTATGATGGAAGCTATTCTCAGCATGAGGCCAATGTTAATAGACAAAAGGGAAAGCAATAAGACAACACTTACAATCACCATAGCAAAATGCGCTTCCAAGTAGAGAAGAAATACGCACAGAAGAACACTGGATGTCCAAAGCACAATCAAAACTATTACAGTCCGCTTCGTTGTGACAAGCTCCTGGTATCTTAGATGCAGGTGAAGAGCAAGGAAACGGTCGACAGTGATGGCAGTTATTGTAAAAAGTGATGCATTTGTTAATATGAAGGAAGATGGACGAAATACTTCAACAGTATTTTTAAGTATTATGTTCTTAGTCATAACTGCTAAAAACGCAGTGCAATAAACCGGCTGCAACAGAGCACCAGCACCAAAGTCAGTGATTGCCAGACTAAGAATAAGAATGTTCGAAGGTGTTCGCAAAGATGGCGTCTTCACAAAAGTCAAGATGATCAAGAGGTTCAAAACTGTAGCCAGCACACCACTAAAAGCATTGATAACTACCATGGACGCGTAGAAGTCAGGATTGATCATCTTTAATGGCTTCCCTGAGGTGGAATTATTCATGCTTGTATTTGAACAGTTTATAAAAGGTTGAACAATAGCTTACTTAGTCTCGTGGGCTTGTTCAGCAGTTGTCGATGAGTCTGAAGCAAGGTGTATTAGTTTCTTATAACTATATCCAACATGGCTTTTCATATAAAGGAAAAGTACGTACTTGTTTTTTCATCGCTGGAACAATAAAGAAATCCTCAAATTACGATATAATAAATATAATAAATCCCTATCGGCAGGATATATTATTCTCTATTGCTCTCTACATCATAGTTATTATCATTTCTTGAATTTAAGTAAAGGTTGCCATCGCATGCTTTCTAAAACTCACCTTTGAACAACACCTCAAATTCGTTGGTAATTTGTGTAATTATTATGAACACCAAGGCTATTAATATTTATAGCGACTTACTGTCATCATTTGTAGATAATTGAGTTAAAAATATTATTCAGGCGGCATTCGCTGACGCTTTGATGAAATACATTAGAGAAGGTTGTCACGAACTTCAGAGTGTGCGTTGTCTTACTTTTTATACCACCAAAGAGGGTCACAATTTACATTGCGCTCATACATTATCCCATCCTTCATAAAAACAAAGGACTGTGAGGTGCACTGTCTAACACCTGTTACTATTATTGACCATATAAAAAACGACTACAAGACTGAGAATTAACACATTAAACGCTCCATATGTTTAAACATCTAGTTTCACCGTAAGAATGAGTATCTTGTCAAATACGTTGCTTTAGTTATTATAGGACCCTTATTGATAAGTCTACAAGAATGTCGTGCCTTTTCAAGTGTTCCGCAATTTTTCATCCAAGTAGCCCTTTAATGGTATGGGTTCTGATACTAAGGACTGAATTATCGATCCGTTAGGTTGCAGGCATCGCACGTACTCATGCAATTTTACATCAGGAGAACGTTTTCGTTTTTTTGTTCCTTGAAGGCCATATGTTTCATTCAAGAGTTGTTTTATTGCGCTCCCATCAAATTTTGACTCTGTTCCTCTTTAATTGCTCGTTTCAATCGTTTATTCAAAAAAAAAAGGAGCCCGGCGGGATGTTGGTTGAATAAACAATAGATACTAATGAGAAATCCTCTGTTAAAGTCCCTCTCTGTGACGTAAATAGCACATAAAGAAAAGCTAAGCATATGCTTTCATGGGAAGTTGCACCGCCCCCCCCCCGTTAATTAATTTATTTATTATGAATAGGTGGGCGTACGATGAAGTAGTTTGCTTGCATCCAAAATATAAAATTAAAAAAATAAGCAATCTGAACTCGTATAATTCAAGATTATATTGATGTCAACAAAACCTGAAAATTTTAGGTCAAACSCSTTTTTACATTTMGAGATATCGGCATTTCAAAACTACAAAATCTATAGAAAACATTCACGGTCATTTCTTTAGAAAATCTTGCAAATTCGGCGCGTGATATCTCTTGAAATATTTAACCAATTGACTTCAAATTTGCAGGAATTGCTAACAGGTATGAGTTCTTTTCATTTATCGGTTTGATTTTCTTGTGTCTTGAAATTCGATTTCTGACTTTTATGCAAATTAGCTAAAACGAAAACATTGGCGCCCACCTATAAAAGAGTTGTCGCAAATCGTGGCACGCTTTTCCTGAGAAGTTTTCAAATGTGACACAGTTGATTTTAAAGTTTCCAATTAAGTTCCACTTAATTTTAGACGTTACCCCCCCCTCTTTTACATGTTTAACCCTCTGATGCCAGCTCAGTTTTCTCGATTTAGGCCCGTTTTTACATTCAAAAGATTAAAAAAACATTCGAGCTCCATGAAAGGTGCTGTCAATCAAATTATCATGGATTCATATTCCCTAGGGAACGTGGCTTTCTATAACGCACGGCTAATTTGAGATTGCTTGCTAGATTAGCCAGCGCACGGTCTCAAATTCGCCAAAAAAGCGTTTACAAGTGTTTTTTCGAGTCATTTTCTGCTACAGAAGCCCCTAGGCCTGCATCATTAAGCTAGACTAGGCGGTTAAGACACTCTTCTGGAAGAAATCAGGAGTGGGGAGCGATTTTTCGAAGACAATGGCGGCAATGCGAATGTCAGTTTGAATTATTAGAACGTATTCGCATAACCCACTTTTTAAATGCTAATGAGTTTTGCTAATATTCTAATGAGATTGACACAAGAAACAAAAGAGCAAAACATGCTTGAGTGATTTCAAAATATTACTATTTTGAGCTCAGTTCAATACATGTCAATAAATACACAATTTCAAACGGAAACATTTTTATTATTAAAGTTAATCAATTTCAACAGTTATTGGCTACAAGATTGAAAATTCCTTGAATGCCAACAGATCGTTTCTTTTAAGCGGTTGATAATGTTAATTTAAATTGTTTTAAATAAATTGGGCGCATGGGAAGAATAATAAAACAAGCATGGTAGACATCCACAACCCGTCGATACCAGAATCAAAACCGATTCTGGACAATGAGGTCCGTTTCAGACGTCTATCTTTTGCCGCGTCTAATCTAATTACTTGCATGTAGTTTACGAGAAGTTGAGATAGCTGTATAGCTTAAATAAAAATGTTTCCTTTTGAAATTTTGCATTTATTGAACTGAGCTCAAAATAGTTTTGAAATAGTATTCGCTACTGAAATCACTCAAGCATGTTTTTGCTCTTTTGTTTCTTGTGCCAATCTCATTAGAATATTAGCAAACTCATTAGCATTTAAAAAGTGGGTTATGCGAACACGTTCTATTATATAGAAATGAAAGAAAGTTATAGTGCTTAGAAGKAGGMWMTTCCGGGAGAAGTCCCTTAGGAATAAATTCGGAAAAATTAATTTCCGACCTCGCTGGGATTCGAACCCACGACCTTCGGATTTGTACACCGATGCTCTACCAGCTGAGCTACATACAAGGCCAGACTGGGAGCAGGTCGGGGTGAAATAGATGTTAAGCTTGCGGTAATAGAATAATGTAAAGATATGAATATGAAGACCGCACGGCACATGTCACATGGCACATGTCACATGGCACATGGCACATGTCAGTTTGAATTATTGTCGTTAGAGAAATATTGTATCTTTCTGTAGCGGATTTCAGACCCTACCAAGGTAAATTTGGCCAGTTTTAACACCCAAACAAGGCAATCGGTGCAATGTTTTACCGGTAGGGACAAGTGGCTTGGCACTTATAATGTATGAGTCAATTCCAAAGGTGCCCTTCCCCCCCCCGGGCGAACCCCCCCATCCCCCCCCCCCGGGCGAACCCCCGGGCATTTGACTTTTTGGAAAAAAATTAGTCAAATTCTCCACCATATGGGCAAAATTGACAGTCAAATGCCCACTAGTAAAAGCAAATGAGTGGTCAAATGCCCGCCCCATAAGTCAGATTTTTACGCTAGTTTTCGAGTGTTTTTGTTGTTTTTTGTATCGTGATTTCTCATCGTGAAAGTACAAAAGATCGAGAATGTTCCCAAAAATGATTGAAGCCTCGTGGCTGCTAATAGCGATCCGTGATCATGTGAAGCGCCTTTGAAACTGTAAGGATATCGGCGCTATATAAATAATACGTATTATTATTATTAAAATGCTTAGGTTCCCGAGATATTTTTATAGCGGTTTCACATCTGAATCGATAATTTCCAAGATGGTCGCCTACTCGTCAAATGCCCGCCCGTCTGCTCTAAATCAGAGTCAAATTCCCCACTGTACGGAGGTAGAGTCGAGTCAAATGCCCCCTTTTTAACAAAATTTCGTTCGTACCCAATCTTGCAAACAGCTGCGTACAATAAGCAGGTTCGACCACGGCACCAACACCAAAGTCAGTGATTGCCAGACTAAGAATAAGAATGTTCGAAGGTGTTCGCAAAGATGGCGTCTTGACAAAAGTCAAGATTGTCAAGAGATTCAAAACAATTGCTAAGACACTACAAAAAACATTAATAACAATCATCAACACTAAGAAGTGAGCATCGAGCATTCGCGTTGGCTCCGATGTCGTATTGTTATTTATGTTTTTCTTTTATATTCTTGACTTATCCTCGCGACGAAGTTCTTCAGGGAGTTAAAAGATAGATCTTCTTACCCATAAGCACAACAGCTGTCTTTTTTCTTGTGTCTCTGTGATCAGTTTAGAGTAAGTTTCATCTTCTTGTCATCTCTTCTTATAAATTCTTTACTTGTTATCAGGAGTTGGTTATCAGTGATATTTCCCGTCTGCTTTTAAATGTGACAATCGTCTAGAAATGCAGAAAATGGAAGTGTCTCAGTGTTCAAAGTAGCCGAGCGAATAGACGTTCTGATCTTGTATGAACAGTTTTTTCATTTACTATTTGAATTACAGTAAAGACTGACATCGATTGACGGTTTTACAAAGTGATTTTAAACCACACCTCAACAAATTCACCTGCCTTGTATAGTCTATATATATCTATATTCGCTGGTTTAAACAAATACCTAGGTATTTCTATGACATCTCATCGTAATTATTGCTAGATAATAGTATTGAAAAGATCAGAAATCATACACCAAGAATATTAAATCTGAAATTATTCACGAATATCGCTTGCGCTCTTAGCTTTAGGTTTGGTATCAATCAAGATTTTCTTTTCCATTGTTTTAGTTTTTGTTCCTACAAAAAAGTGCCCAAGTCTAAATATACTATACCTTCTTTCCTGTTCTCTTTTTTACAGGTTTTGGTTCATATTCGAGAAGCCAGCTTGGAGATGTCATAAACAATGATGACGTTAATCTGCATCTTTTTATAATGGGTTAGTAAACATTTCATAGATATGTGATCTGACTAGCAAGGAGATGTGGTTTGATTAATTATTGATATAGTATTGCAAGTCGTGAACCATCAGGTCCAATCTCGTACCCTGAGCCCGCGTAACTTTTCGGTCTGCTGCGAAAAAGGACTTGCCTTTTCTCGGCGCATGTCGAAAGGTACTCGTTTTCTGCGCACAAGATTGGGATCAGGTTCAAGATATTTGTAAATATTCTTAAAAACATGAGAGTTTTGCAATTTTCAAAAGATAATAGAGATAATAGAAACGCCTGCGTAGGAAGCTAAAGCACGAAAGTGCCGTACTTTTTTTAAAAACACTTTTTTTTTAACTTTTTTAAAAACACGGATATGAAATCCGCTCAAAGATATAATTTCCCTAATTAGTGAAAGTTGTCCCTTTTTTTTAGTGAAAGTTGTTCCTTTTTTCTTTTATTTCAGGTTTATTGTTTATGGAAGGTTCTTTCTTAACACAGGAACTCCGCAAGTGCCTGTCGAAATATGCTTGCAGGCGGGTTTGTAGTACGTATTCCATATATGGCACTAACTAACAAGCGAATAGAAGCACCTAACAAGCGAACAGGGGTCCATACTTTTTTTCACTTGTATATTTTTCTACAGTTTTTTATCGACTTATTCGAGCTTTTTAGCTACTTAACTTATTAAAAATTTTCTTATCAAATTTTAACTTAGAATTATGAATTTAACATTTTATAGCCTGACCCGTCCTTTTTCCCTAAACCTAACCCTTCGACTACAAATGTAAAGCGCCTTAACTAACTTGACCACGAGAGATTACGCTGGCAAACAACGAATTGTTTGTGACATTTAAAGTATTTTGCATTGCTAATAGCACCGGTAAATTGGGATTCCTTAGGGGCCGCTATTCGCTTGTTAGGTGCTTCTATTCGCTTGTTAGGGGCCTCTATACGCTTGTTAGTTAATACCATATATGGAATACGTACTACAAATCCGCCTCGGTGCTTCTATTCGCTTGTTAGGGGCCTCTATACGCTTGTTAGTTAATACCATATATGGAATACSTACGACAACCCTACCTCTATGCTTGAGAGGACCCACATGCTGTTGAACGTAGACACAACACAAAGCAGGTTATACATTGCATAAATAAACAAAAGTTATTTAATATGCTATAATCATTTTTCATTTAGTGCTTCATTTTCTTTTCTTTAGACCGCGATCAGCTGTAACTTTTTAATGCAATAAAGATTTCTATAATAATTTTCCTTCCCCCGCCCCCATGACATCTACTACGATACTGCAGATTTCCGATTAACAATGCGAACGCACTAAATCGCCATTACCGCGACGTGCCGCAAGAGTGATCTATACACAGTAGTATCAAAAAGTTTTGGAACGCCTGGCACAGATCATCATTCTGTTTTTTTTTGTACCCTACTGAGAAAAAATAAAGAATCAAAGGATGAGAAACAATCACCATGGATTTAATTATATCTACAATTTCCAAGTAATTTATTTTTATCGCTTACATGAATTTTTCTATTATTACCGAGAATTTCTAGGAAGGAGTCGAGCCCGCGCAGGTTTTCTTCTTAGTCCGCATCGAAATTTATCTTAACTTGTCTTATAGTTTAGGTATAACCGTTGTCTTTGGATATTTTCATCAAATAACTTGCCATGGCTGAGGGAGGGAAGCCTTCTGAGGAAGGGAAGACTCCCTCGCTACTAGATATCATGAACGAGCAGTTAGAAGAGGAAAGAAACTCTAAGGGACTCGAGGAGGCTCAATCTCGGCGGTCTAGAAGAATGAGGTCCAGACTCAGCAAAAAGAATACGCACAGCGAAGAAGACAGTTCTGTTCTTCGTGGTCCGTTTGAACAATCCTTCGATGCTGCTCTAGCTCAAAATGTTGAAGTTACTACTAGAAAACCATCAAGATTGCTGAAACCAAAAGAGATAAATGACCTAGCGAAGCAAATAATAAGCGAAATAGCTGAAGCCAACCACTACGTTTCGTTAGAACTTGTCAAAGCAAAGATGTGCCATGAAATGAGAGTGAGAAGTCTCAACGATTTGGGGTATCGAAATCCTGATCTTGAAATCCCAGAACTGAAGGAACTACAGCGTCTCCATTCTAAGGTACGATCATTGTAATGCTAAAAATCTTGTTCCATCCACAACACCAAAACGAGATAGCAATAATAGGCACTGCTCGACACTGCGCAGATGACAGGTTGCTTATTATAAATGGTAAGGGAAAAGTAGACATATAAATAATATATTTAGAAAAATTCTGCATTTTTACCATAGATTTTTCACTATGGAATTGATGTTTGAATGCGTCCATTTACCATACTTCTATACGTCAGGCAATATGTCAGGTCCAGATTTAAACTCGTACCAGACAATTAATATAGTATTAGTAAGATATGATAGACGCGATACAAAATGAAGTTGATAATCAGAGATTACTTTTTTTTTATTTTCTGATTAATCTTTTTCCTGGTTACAAGGAAATATAAATATTTTTCTCATCATAACATCATACACGAAATTAGAACGTATAACGTGACACTGATTAGATTGCCATAAAAATCGCCGCTGAATGTAAGAACCAAGGGCTCTTAACGCGAGGAACGCCTAGTACAAAGTGCACTTCTAGGAAATCGATTTACGCGAAAACTTCTTTTTTTTCAAAGTGATATCATGGCCGAAGGTATTATTCAAACGGAAAAATTATCCGGTATTGAGCTTTTCAAGACCGAGGTAGCAGCAGTACTTGAGAACACTGAAGAGCAACCAGTCAAGTTGAGCTCGCAATTTACAAAGGAATACAAAAGAGTGTTCAACAGGAAGTTCAAACCCGAAGACTACGGCTTTCAGTCGAAATCCCTCTATAGCTATTTTACTCATATAACTGACATTATCAATTTCACAAAGAAAGATGGAAATCTAGCTATCATTATGAAAGAAAAAAATGCAGAATGCCTAGCTCATTTCAGCGAAGAGGCTGTCGAGGATACACGAAGTCCACCAAGTGATGTAGATTGCAAATCTGTTACCGAAACGACAACAGAGCAATGTCAAGATAAAGCACAACGCAAAGATAAAGTGCAACTCCAAGATAAAGTCCAAGGTGCTTCTCTTCTTCGGTTGCATGTTATGGCAATGATAGAGGATTCTGGTGAGAAAAGAATTGATTTGAGCTGTTTTGATACAATATACCAAGAGAAATACAAGACTCGTTTTAACCGAAAAAATTACAAATTGAAAGGAAAACTGACCAAGATTCTTGAAAGGGCTATGTCAGATTGTGTGGAAATTGAAACTTGTGGAACTAAAACGTTTTTGAAACTTAAGAATAGTCATCAAAAGCAAGTCAAAAGTGATGAGAAATCTGAGCCCTCTGAAAGCATTGTCAATGATAGAAGTCATCCGTTATTTGATTACCCAAATGTAAGTGACATGACAGAAATGCCCTCCTCAAAGCCTGTATCACTACCATGCCATGATACGAAAAGCACTACTCCAGACAGTACTAATGATTCCCTTCAGGGCATTAAAGACTTTAGATCTGATATCAAAACTATTTTAATGGATACAGAGACCAAGAAAGTTGGCTTAGGTCAACTCCCACATCTCTACAAAATGAAATTCAACTGCAACTTTGATCATAAAAAATATTCAGGACTTCCCAAGAAACACCTCTGTAAACTTGTCCAGAAGGATTTCATGGCGGATTTGATTTTAATTGTAAAATGTGGATCAAAAACATCCGTAGAGCTGAGAGGTAACTGTGATGACAAGTCAATTGAAGGCCAAGAGGAAACCCTTAAATACCAATTACCTTCAGACCATAACCTTTACAAAGGACATGTGAAAATGCTCTCAGAAGAAGCAGCTGATCTTGACAAATGGAAATTCTATTTACAGTGCCAAAATAATAGAAAAGGGCATCCTCCAAAGGATTCTTGTCTGCTGAACAAAGATTTCACGTCAGATCTAATTTTGTTTGAGAAAAAGGGGCTTATTACAGATGTAAAACTAACTGACAAACCTTGTGGTGAAATATGTCAAACTGGACAGCCATATACATATAGTGCCAGGTCATCAGTTAGTCAGTTGAGTACTCAATCACTTTTGGAACCAGCCAGGGATTTTTATACTGATTTTTCAGCCCCATCTGGTACTAATAATGGTCATTCATACAAATCCCAATCTTCATCAGCTGTTAATGAGACAGTCCAAAGGTCAGACAATGAGCCTGTTGCGCCAGCAATGAGTACCAGTTTCACAGTGAAAGATCTTTTGAATCAACCTAGCCAAAATAATGAGAATAAAATAGCTATTGAACCCTGCCAAACAAAAATCAATGAACACAATTCAACACAAACATCTGGCTTATCTGGAGTTGAACTCTTTAAATCAGAAGTTAGAGAAATTCTTCTAGATCAAGGGGGCAGAATTGAAGTCAGCAAATTCAAGAATTTGTATAAAAATAAATTTAATGCAAACTTCACTGGAAAGAAATATGGAGTCACAAAAGCAAAGAAGCTCTGTTTACTGTTAAAGCTCATTCCTGATATTGTTGTCTTGGGATGTGTGGGTAGCATGATGTACATGGAGCTTCGTGAATGCCTAATGGAGGTGCCAGAAGTGAAAGAAGACAAGAATGTAAGACAAGATACCAAGGAAAATAGTCAAGCAGCTCAATCAACTCAACCGGCTTCACCATCATTTCATGACTCAGGAAACAATGTACAACAGGGTGTTGAAGAAGTAAAAGTCTTTGAGAAAACAAGTGTAAAACATGTACAAAAAGCACAAAATTCCCAGTCGCAAACTGACATCTCAACAGAAAAGGAATCCTTTGCTCATGCAAATCTTGATGACCACAAAATTTATAGCAAAAGTGCAGCAACTCAAAACCTTTTGTCACCTTCATCAGAAACTACATCTATGATATCCAAAAAGTTATCGAAAGACATGGCTGCAGCACCCAAGACAAACTTCACAACTGATGTTATTTTGCTTCAACAACCAACAGTAGAATATCCTAAAAAAAGTGAGAAAAAGCTATGGTCCAAGATAGTTGATGAAGAGGAAATGATGATGTCTATTCCCAGTCCTTTTGAAGATTCATTTAATGCTGCACAAAGGATGCAATCTCTTACCAACCACAGCTTGTCTAGACCAGCATATCGCACACCTCATGAAGTAAATGAGATGGCAAAGCGAATTATTGTGGAAATTGCTGAGGATGAGCATTATGTGTCATTAGTGGTTGTCAAAGCAAAGATGTGTGAGATGACTGGAGTGAGAAATCTTAAAGAGTTGGGGTATAGAAATCCAGATATTGATATCCAAGAGCTAAAAGAACTTCAGCGACTACACTCAAAGGTATGTAGCCTGCTTAGGGGAGGGGGGAGGAGGGAGGGGGGAGGGAGGAGGGAGGAACCGGTTCAGTTAGTTATAACACTCATGCATAAAACATCAGTGTTGTAACTGATTAAAGACACTCGATGTGTGCCCAACACTAGAAAAGTTCTCAGTTTTAGACTCTCATCAATCATAGAACTTCACTAGGTCTCGAGTTAAAATTACTTATTTGCAGAGTCACAGTACACTGAAACATAGTGGCGCTTGGATGTGGAAAACCAAGTTGATTACTTTTCATGCTCAGATGGAGATATCTTCATCAATTATTCATTTTTGATATTTTTTTATTCATTTCATGTTTATTGTAGTTTCTTAGGTTTGGGTTTTAGAAGTCATTTAAAAAACTCGTAGTTCGTGTTTTATCGTGGATATTATATCTCACGATAAAACACTCCTACTTGTTTTTTAAATATCACGACTAGAATCTCTTTCATATACTGTATGCTGTAACATCCAAATTCAGGCAATATGTGCTGTGCAGACTAAGCTTAGATCTGAGAAGTTTACATGTAGTTTTAAATGTATGATTTAGACATCAGTACCTGTCAACCACGTGTTACTAGATGTTATAAGATAGTCAAGGCAACTAGGCCAAACACAGGACACAAGTAGTCTCTTCCTCATGAGCATCTCCATCTTGTTGCCGTTTTTGTATGCTTGGGCTTCCTGTTTTCTTATATCATAAAATTATGTCACATTAGGAGAGGATAGAAGCGGTATCCCAAAAGGGAAGAGGCAGTATTCATTCTTGAAATAATTTATGATATAAACTTTCAATCATGACTTTATATTACTTTTGTTATTTTGTTGTACACTTGTTTAGAAGTACAGAAAGTAGAAATTAAGAAAAGGGTAATTTGACTTCTGTTTTGGGAAGTGCGCGCAAAAGTTGTGTATAACCGCGAAAGTCGTCTAGTAAGGGACATATTTTGAAAAATGTAATTTAAAATGTACTTTTAGAGTGTCGATTTTCTTGTGAATTCGCTATTAAAATTATATCTAGCATGACGACAAACGTGTTTTGGTCATCACTAAGTAAAATCAATTTAAACGCAATGTATTCTTTCTTTAAAACCTTGCTTTCATTTACACGCAAGCTATGCGTAAATGCTCAAGGCGCTTAAACACCGTTAAAACCGCCTCAAGCCCAAAGCCCAAACTAAAACCAAGTAGTGTCCTATTTATCCTGATTAATTTTCCTTTCCTTTTACTTATTTTTCATTAATTCATCGATTCATTCATCTGTCCACCCAGCAAATTGTCAACTTATCACCCACATTCGGTATTTCGGTGGAATAACCACACAGAAAAGATTGACGAGGTTCAGGGGAAACCACAGATAATTAATACACTAATAACTTTTTTTGTTTCCCCGAAGCCTTATTGTCTTCAATTCTTTTGTGCGTGACCATTAAACCAGAATATTGAGGATGGGGTTATTCGTTAAAGTTTTTTTCTCTGTATTGCAGCTGGATCTCTATGGCCGAGCTTATGTTATGGTACACAGCATTGCTACGTTAACAGAACTCGGTCAAAGTATGGCTCGACTAGTGGATAAAAAAGACTTTTCAGAACTCAAAGTAGGACCATTGGTAAAGCTTCCAGTCGTCTATGACCTATTCAAGGCTCCATCCGACGATGTTGCTATCCAGAGTATAACCACCATGCAGGTCCTCAAGAATCTTAACAAGTATTTAACGAAAGAGAACAAATGGACGTCGAAAGTAGAGCTGGACAAGTTCATTCAATTTCTCTGTGATGAATATGGCTGTAAGTCAGCTTACGAGCTCGGAGTTCGCGTTCAAAGCATTGGTCTTGGCATATCGGTAAATATTCACTCAGAGGCGTATCAGTCTAGTGGGATGTCCAATGGTGCACCGGGCACCCCCGTAACGCCGCAAATATTTCGTAAATTAGACCTAATATTGCTCTTTTAGATTTTTGTAACCAATTCTCTGTACCGGATTCGCGCACATTCTCGGTATCTGTACTGTGGCGTCCTGGTATATTAATAATTTCTGGATAACAGACGTATATACCATTTCTTTATTTGGGACACTCCTTGGAAAATGTCTGGTCCGCCCCTCCCACTGGTCATAGGATATATCTTCAAGTGCTAGAACTTTCATTTTTTTGAAATTATCTTATGAAAATTATCATTTCTGTCATTCAAGGTTCTAAAACGAGCTCAAAAAGCTCAAAGTGAGCGTTCCAAGGAAGTCGAACAAGAACTGGTTGCGGACTTAGAGAAAGAGTTTGAACGAAGATGCAAGAAAATAAAAGACGATCTCCTTGGTGCATCTCACGGTGACGAAACAAGTCTTCTACAGAAACTTCTTGGATCATCTGTGACGGACGTTCTTACTAAAGTATATGAGCACTGCAGTCTGCTCTTTCAAAGTAACCACACCATCACAGAGAAAGATTTATGGAGAGTTGAGAGGTGTTTAAAAAGCTTAGTTGAAAATAAGTCACTACGAGAATTCTTTAATTTAGCTCTTCACATGGGATGCAAGTCAGTGGTCTCTGGACTTTTGGACGAATGTAGAACGGAGATCATTGAGACCAAGGAAAGAGAGGAGCAAGAGAAAGAACGGGCTGCAAAACCTCCGAAAAAAGGTGAGGGAACGATTTCATAAGTACAAGTACAAAAATAATTATAAGAAGTTATGACGTTTTCTTTTGATATTTCACGTGGTAGATCGTACCTAGATTAAATCGTTTAGCACTGCAAAATCATGGTAGCTCAAGCAAAAACATGAAATTTGACATGATAACTTTTTCTATCACATTCACCTCCTTGTAAACCAACCTCGTTCCCAGGGCTTCTTTGCTCGCTTTTTTTTAAATGGCGGACGACCTGAAAACGATGTTGGTCGTAAACAAAAAAGTCTCTGTATTTCTGACTTAGGGAAACTGACCAAAGAAATAAAGAAATGGTTGAGCTCAGCCAAGGACCTGAAAATGTCAACACTGGCACATATTGAAGACAGCATAACTGAGCCTTTCCGGCCAGATTTCCCAAACTTCACTGCGTTTGGCTATGGAACTTTCTTAGAGTTTCTTTCCAAACAGCCTGAATTGAATAAAATCATAGAACAGAGCACTCTATTAGGAAATTCTGGAGAATTCAATCGCTGTCAATCACGTGACATGGGCTTCCTGGATTTTTTCCGGCAGTGTGGTTCACAGTCAACAAAGGTAAATAACAATTAACATTTTTTAAACCAATTAATGAGGAACTACATCCATTTCATCACACAAGTCATTTCTCCCTCCCTAGAGCAAGTAGCAGGGTAAGAAAGGAGTTGGATTGGCCAACAAAAATAAGATATTCGAACAAACAAACACAAAAGACAAGATTTCTAAAACCACTTTATCACTAGCTGAGATGTTATAAACAAATACAGTCTAGCAAGATTTCATTTGCATGTATAGTTAAATTTATGATAGTTATATTACGTACATTTTAGGATGAAGTTGAACGAACCGTTTGTGGTTTCTATCGAGTGAAGACCCTAGAGGACCTAGGATTTGGTAACTATGACAACGTTGTCGAAGAAATCAAACGTGAGAATCAAAGCCACCGACAGAGCGTTTTCTACGAGGCAGCTATTCTTTGTAAAGACGTCCCACATGTTGGATTCACGGGCCCTCACACTTCCCCACGGACAAATATCAATGCTGGAAAATTGGGATGGAAGACTCCCGATGATGCCCTGAAAGCTTTGAAGAGCGCTCCGCTTTTGTTTGACTTGCAGGAGTGGACTCAATGGACTACGGTATTTGAACCATGTCATGGAGGTCTAAAGCGGTTTATTGAGAGTCAGAGGAAAGACGAGATCCAGGCTTTGGAAACCAGTGGTAATGCTTTACTTCGAATTGATACTAACACCACCAACGACAGGTTTAGCGAATGTGTTGACAAAAATGACGCTGTTGGAGCCTCCGGTACTTTAGTCTCCTTAGTGGTTAAATATGGAGGCATCAAGAACACGCCACTCACTCTATTAGCCAATCATATGAAACCAGTTTTATCAAAGTTAAAATCCGATGATCAGAAGAATGATGGGCTCACCTGCCCTCAGTTCGTCCTGCGTTGTCTGTGTAGTATGCCTGATAGCATGTGTATGGCTTTAGCTGATAAGGTAAGCGCTATTGGCACTGTTCAAAGCTTGGTTAATTCGGTTATAGGACCTAATAACGAGTAAAACGTTTTTATGTGATAGATACAATATGAGCGGTCGATCTGTATGTGATATACGTATGGCACATGTGAAACAAATAAACAAGCAAAAATTATTTAAAAAAATTTCATTCATTTACAGGTATTCTTGGAWCCATTGGATATTGCCGTGGGTAAAACAAACTCGTGCAAACTTCTCCTCTCCTGTTGTAATAACGATGCTCAGCGAAGTCGCCTACATCGACTCGGTCTGGGGCTTGGAAAGATTGAGTTTATAAAAGACTTTGAGCATGCGATCAGTGGTGAAAGTGATCATCGTTACAGTCAAAAGAAAATCACCCTAACGGAGGAGAGGCCAGTGGTTGCGGTCAAGCCATTCACTGTCGAAAAGTTGGTCGGGGATGACAAGGTGAGCAGTTTTTTTCTAAATTCCTTTCAAAAGTCGACTTTTTGTCTCTGCCGCGGTGTTGCCTTCATTGTATCTCCCTTAACAACAATAATGCCTTACTATTAAAAGCTGGAAATTTAGTAATTATATAAAGACTATTAAAGTGAAACGATTTGTTCTGCATTCAGATATTCTTTTGGTAGCAGATAAACTAGTCCGTGATTCATGCTATTTAACAAATAGATCTCATTTTTCCGTGCGTGTGTACTCTAATAGATACACAGATGACGTCAAAATGTAGTGAGAACAAAAAAGTACGCACGAGACGCAGTCGAGTGCGTGACTGTTGTTCTCACTACATTTTGACGTCATCTGTGTATCTATTAGAGTACACACGCACGGAAAAATGAGATCTATCTGTTTTATACAACAAACAATTAGTTTTGACGTAATCCGTGTATCTATACTTTGACACGAAAGCCAACACACGAAAGCCAACCAATCAAAACGTCTGATTTTACTGAAAAGTTGTATAAAATGTGACATTTATAAGTAATAGCATGGCTCTGAGGGAGATTAGGGATTAAATGTCCCCGAAGCCGAGGGCAGATAAGTTGAAGTCCCGACGCCCGCAGGCCGGAGGGACTTTTACTTATCTGTCCGAGGCTGAGGGACATTTAATCCCTAATCTCTCGAGGAAGCCATGCTATTACTTTGTAATACCATGATTTSCKAGGAAAAAATTGAAGTTGAACTTGAGCGAATTTGAATTCTTGTTTTTTTGTATGCTCCAATGTTTTCAATTCATGCATGAATTGGAATATGACATGAAAAGAAAGGATACGCACTGTTCTAAGAGTATCACTCGCCGAACAACAGTACAAAATGATATTGATAATCCGACCATTGTTACTGATTTCCCACAACGAACTTTGTTTGAAATTGCTTTTCAGTTCTATTCAATGCTGAAGTTAACGAACCTTAACTTCAACCGCGAAAAGTTGTTTTTATATTTGCAAGTATAATGCCAAGAAGCTTATCAACTATTATCAAACATTGAAATTCGTCAAGTGCACATGCTCAGCGGTACGAAGTAGATACTCGGAACCAGAGCTACTCGGTCAATTTGTCCCAAAAATCATCCCACATTTCAGTGTGAATGAGACGATAACCAGACCGTTCATTGCAGAGGTAAAAAGAAGACAGCTGTAGGGACATTCAGTTGTCCCTGCTGGGAAGCAAAGGTTTCCTTTGCCTTCCGTTTCTCATGAATAACATGAGGGACGATTAGTCTAATCGTCCCTCATGTTATTATGCATGAGGGACGATTACTAGTAATCGTCCCTCATGCCATTCATGAGGCAGGGATGTTCGCTTGTAAACATCCCTCGGAAGACAAAAGAATCCGAGGTGATCATGGTATTACTTAGATTAAACTTCTCAGAAGAACTCAGATCTATCACACAAATTGTCAATATTGTCTGTCTTAAATGCCTTTAGGACCTATATTTTGGTGCAGTTTTAAATGATGTGTGTTTTTGTTAAAAGGATATAAGGGAAGAGGGAGCAGAGGACGTAGAGCCATCTGGTGACGTTGAAGAAAGAGAAGGTCTGAGATGAATTTGAACAACTATCTTAAGTCTTGTATTTACTATTAATCTTGCACAACTCTAACCTGTCCTTTTGCTTTGCTTTCCCATATTTGCGTTACTTATTTTCATTCTGTTCTCTTTTATTTTGCTGTTTTATAGCCTTCATAATTGGTTATTTTATGTTTAGTTTTTTTCCTATTATTGTTTTACAGTGTATGCAGATAACGAAGAAACGACAGATGAAGAAGAGGAAGAAGCAACTATTAAACCAAATCCATGTAAAGCCGTTATTGAAACAATTCGCAAAGAAGAGTTTGGTATCGGTGTTTTCCTAGGCGAGGAAGAAGGGAAGCTATTTCAAAAACAACGAGAGCGAGAAGGAAGAAGCCTCCATCGTTTGTCAGCAGACTTGTACAACAAAGACACTCATTTCGTCCTGGAGTTAGTCCAGAATGCTGATGACAATACTTACCCAGATACTGAAATACCTGCCTTGAAGTTTCTTGTAGACTCTAAAAGCATTGTGGTACTGAATAATGAAGTAGGTTTTAGCGAGAAGAACATCCGGGCATTGTGTGACGTAGGCAAAAGTACAAAGGGACCCCACCAGTATGGGTATATAGGTGAATATGATGATGTTATAGCCGTCTTTGTTGTTCGCAGATAGTCATATATGTTAATAGCCATTGTTTATAATGATTTTTAGGTCAGAAGGGCATCGGATTCAAGTCTGTATTTCGTATTAGCGATACACCCGAAGTCCATTCCAATGGTTATAACATTCGCTTTGATGCCAACAGTGGTCCGTCAGGCTATATTTTACCTCACTGGATTGATAATTGCGCAAACCAAGATGACAGAGAGAATGAGTTTCGTGGGTGAGTCTGGTGTTGCTTGATTAGGGCTTGATTATATGAAGCGGATTAGCCCTATTTAACGGGCACTGCTTTCTTACGATATGTATCAAAAATCAAGAAAATCATGATCCCAGTCAAACGAGTCAGGACGCTTCTTAAAATAAGGATATATAAAAAAGGAAAGGAAAAGGTGTTGGGTGCTAATCGTCCTTCATGGCAGCAAGGGTGCTGAATTGCGAAAGACGCAGCTCKACGCGCTCTCAAGTCRAARTGYTRTATYACAGACACATTTTACAGACACTTACACATAGGCGTGCTGCCGGCTAGGCGCTTCCTTTACATAGCAACGAACGACTGAACGCGGAGCACAGCAGATAGAAAATGGTTCGTTTTTACTGAGGGAGGAAAACCCGGAAAGACCCGGAAAAACCCTTGAACGAAAGAAACTCAAATCACATATGGCGCGAGATTCGAACAGGGTCCACAGAGGTGACAGGCCAGCGCTCTCACCGCTCGGCCACCCATGCGTCCCCAAAAATATACATATTATATACAATTACCAAAGGGGCGGGTTATCCAGACGGATACCGGGACGCTGTTTTTGTAGTCGTTCTTGTATAGCCAACTGGTCGGCAACTGGTCGTGAATGATGAATTGTCGTGAAATTATGTGTGAATCAATCATGAACAAGATGTAAATAATGCATGTTGTTTACAGCGTTCTTTCTGTTACAGATGGATGACCAGGATAGTTCTTCCTTTGAAAGACGAATTTCAAGGTGACAAGAAGACATCTCTCACAGCTCGATTCCATGATGTTCATCCTTCGCTGTTGCTATTCCTTCATCGACTTCGCAGTATTACTATCCAAAACGAGGTATGTATAATGATGATGGTGGTGGTGATGTTGTATTGGACAAAAGAACTGAAGACGAGGCTCCGGTAAAACATTGGATAATAGTGCTTTTCTGTCTGTAGCCTAGTCTTAAATTCTTTATTGCATGACCATTTATCTAGAATACCGAGTAGCCAATCCGTGATCGCAGTGGTTACCAAACTTTTTCGAAACGACTCATTTTTTTTTAAATGACTAGAATTTACATTTCAGTGTTAACAGTCTCCTTTACGGTTACCTGCGCCATCTTGAAAGGTAGCCGTGCCTTAACATGGAAGAGAGACGACCGTTGAGCGTGCAATGATAGAAACCTTCTTTCACACAATTATTCACAGGTATCTATCATTGCACGCTCAACGGTTGTCTCTCTTCCATGTTAAGGCACAGCTACCTTTCAAGATGGCGCAGGTATCCGTGAAGGAGACTATTGGTTGCTGCAGTGTAAGATTTTTGTTTTGTCAATTGTTTATCATTGTTTGTCGATCTGTTGTGTTGGCTGAATTCCATTGGTAGTATTATTGAATCTGCCTTATGATGCTTAGAAGAACCTTCAAGAGATGACAAGAAAGGATCTTAGCAATAATGTTATAGAAATCAACCATGGTCATGGGACCGACCGCTGGCTGGTTGTTAAGAAACAACTAAACGCATCAAATGTAAGTCAATCGAGATGCCATAAAACATTTTTCTTCCGACGTCACATCCTGTTCTCTCTTCAAATGATTTGACTGATATATTTTTAAGGTACGAGAGGATGTTGAGATGACTGAGCTTGCAATTGCTTTTCCAATGGCTGGCGATTCTAGCAACAAGACGTCTTATAAGGTAGCCTGAGCCCTTGCACTCTTTAATGAGTATTTTGTATTATAGTTTTATGTAATGTATACAGAACGAGAGAGCGTGTTGTATCGGCTGATAAAGATCCGAGCCGAAGGCGAGGATCTTTAGCCCCGATACAACACGCTCTCGAGTTCTGTATACGGCTTATCAAACTTTATAATAATTCACATTATAATGTTTTTGAAAAATTGATCGAATATCTTGCTGCATTCATCGATTATCAGCGGTAACGTATGTCGCCGTTATTAAATATTCGTCAAATATAACTGTTTGTATGGTACTGCCATTGTTTCACGAAACGACTGAATTATCAAGGGAATTTCTAAATGATTGATTGAAAGTTCGATTTTGCAGATGAAGCTTTTATTACTTACT